ACGACGTCGTTTTTTAACCCTAGTGCATATCAAAAATTTTACAAATAGTTGTTCATGGCCATATAATTTTACATATTGCAGTATCATAGTGCATAAATGCATCATATCAATTTCCACTAAAGATCCGTTTGATTGTAGAGATGAAAATTTGTGTGGAAATAAAACGAATTTCAGAGAATTGAATTACCTAAAAATTGTTTTACTAGGAATTGTCAATTATTGTGTTTAATTGATATAATTTTTCACGTGGAATATGTTGAAATAAAAGTGTTTTTTGGTGTTTGTTTGGCTTTGTCTTACATTAAAATTTTCAATTAAAGAGATTGAATTTACTGGTATTGGGGATAAAATTTGTCTTCATTGCAAAAAAAAAAAAAAAATTATCTATCTTTTGGTGTTCGTTTGATTTTATTTTACATGAAAATTATTAATTAAAGGAAAATATTTTTTTACAATTAGTATAAAATTTGTTTCCATTGCACTAACCAAAAAAAAAAAAAGTAACAGTACCCTAGAAAACCAATTTCCACCATATTGGTGGGAATTAGTTTTCAAGGAAAATCAAGAAAATTCCAACTTCCAAGAAAAACCAAATTCCACGGGGAAAAAAAAAAAAGCCTATCAAACATGCAAATTTGGAAGAAAGTGGAATTCGAACCAATCAAACATGGCCTAAGATTAAAAGTAAAACTATTTAAAAGGTGTCATTTTAATAATAAATTTTTCATAAGTACAGATTGAAACAAATATAGTAACGATTAAGATTTTCACCTTAATTAGGTACTTAAATAAACCATGGTAGAACGGCTAAGCGCTCGTGTTCTTCTTTAACGTATTGTAATTTGAATTAATTGTTGTAACTTAAGTAAATCTAGATTAGTTGTTATTTATTTTATCCAGCCTTGAGCCAAATTGAACACATAAAAAAAAATATAGACACGTGTGGCATTATCAAAAGTATTCATAAAAAAGAAAATTCTTGCAGGTAACGAGAACCAAGTAATAGAGGGAATTGAAGCGGGTACCTAAAATTTGAGAAAAATACTAGAAATCACGATGTTCAAATCTTGACATTTTCATCAACGACCTTACATTTATAACTGCACAATTCTTTGCAGATAGAATCCATCCAAATTAAATTTAACAACATCTACAAGGCACGTGACTTTTTCAAGGACAAAACGATATGTCCTCCATTAACACAATCTTCTTCGTCCCATCTCACCCAACCCTCCTCCTACCATACAAAAGGGAAGTAAGAAATAAAGGGGTCTAAAATTTCAACACCAATAGCTCCTCAGAATCTGCTCTAACGATGACTAGCTTGGAGAGTGAAATTTCAATTTACCATTAATACTAAAAGGTAGGCAAAATTGAATATGTCTATGGTTTGGTCTTAAATGGGGTTATTATTAGTTAATGGCCCTTAGAATAGTAGCCTAGTAGGTCATGCAAAAGAGTAAAGAGGAGTCTTTAAGTCGTTAATATGAAATAGGGAAAATTGCAACAGTAGTTCCTAACCTTTTTCTTTTTAACAGATTTTACTCTAACCTTCATTTTGTACCAGTGAAGGCCCCTAACATTTCATAAATATGCACCTGAGATCTATTTGGATGGAAACCGTCCAAAATACCATCAGTTGACCAGAAAAATTCCTTGAACTATCTATTACCGCAACAGTTTTATTGGATGTTGATACCTTTTTGGATGATGTTTCGGATGATTTTATTGGATGTTGATTCCTTAATTTTATTGGTCAATTAACGGTGTTTTGGATGGTTTTCGTCCAGATAGATCTTAGGTGCATATTTATGAAAGATTAGGAACCTCCGTTGACATAAAATGAAGGTTAGGATAAAGTCTGTAAAAAAAAACGAAAAGCTTAGAGACCGCTACTGCAATTTTTCGGACTTTTCACAAGGTTAAACTGAACTATAGTACATGGTAAAAAATTTACCCTCCTCAAAAGTCCCCAAGTCTTGCACTAAATTTGAACTCATTAGAGATGTATCTATATAGATTTAGGGGGAGGAACGAGACAAGTTTGTAAAAAGGTCCATATTTTCTTCAAAAGAGGGTAGAGTTATGGTGTCACCATAAGGACTGACTTTATCAAAATTTGGCGTAGAAAGGAAACGGAAGCACGTAATAAGAATGATTTTTAATAAATGTAGTTGTGAGAAGTCTCACTCAAAGCTACCATACAAAAGAGAAGAAAGAAATTAATATAGGGTTCTTAGATTTCATCACCCATTGCTCCTCAGAATCTGCACTAACAATGACTAGCAATGAGAGTGAAATTTCAACTTACTATAATTGTTAAAAGAGATACTAAAGTATATTTCTATTGTTTGGTCTTAAAAAGGGTTATTAGGTAATGACTCGTAGTCTGTTTGGTGTAAATTTTTTAATTAAAGATTTTGTGAAAATGTGGCATTTTTGAAGAATTTATGATTAAAAAGCAAGAAAATGTTACGATTCAAATACAAAATTATTTTATTGAGAGATTAAGGCTAAAAATAAGTTCGAAGAAAATAAGTTATAAAGAATTTTTATCAAACAGGAGCATATATATGTATGTCAGCGCATGCAATTTTATACTAATTTGCTATCGAACCTAAATCATGAGCAATTAATCAAATCTCGAAATTGCTAAAAATTTAGTTGCATACCTACAACTTGATTGATGCTGACGTTGAGGTTGTTTTTTATGATTGTATAGCGCGCAATAATTTCGACATAGAAAAAAATCTCCTCTACGAGAAAAAAAAAATTATAAAAATTCATGTTATTTAAGATTTTTCATGGTGTTATTCACAATTAATCACATGGAAAATGAGGTAATTGTCAGGCTATATGAATTTCAAGTCGCGTAAAGGCATGCAGCCAAGAAATTTAGCTCTTAGCGTAGTTTGTGGCGAAGAAAATAAAAGTTGATATGATCGGAGGAGCAGAAAATAGAGATAAATAAAGTATTAAGGCTAGTTAGAGCTGAAGAATTTTGAAATTACAGAAGAGAACGATCCTATTCATAAGACAACGAATAATTAAAAATGGAAGGGATATATTCTAATAAAACAATCAAATAATAATGAAATAAACGAAAACTTTGTATTTTTTTACTAATATTTTCTTTTTTCAGGTATAATTTAATGGACAGTTACAAATGCATAGTTCAGCATTTGTCCGTTCCTGCCCTATAAGCTTTAAAAATAATTACATATGGTTAGAAACTTAGAATTGGGTGTTCAGATCGACTTAAATTTTATTCTCAATAAATTTGTAATCTACTGTATATATTTTCGTTTCATCATTTGATGAAGTTGTTATGTAACGAAAATTTAGAGGTGTCAAAATTTAATTGAGACGAAGTTTTTACCTTTTTCTTAGTAGCTAAATTTTGTCCAATTTAAATTTTGACACCTCCTAAATTTTAGTGACGTATCAAAATTTGATTATAGGGACAGCTAATGGGACAACCGACGACGAGATGGGGCACAAGACTTGAACTCATTGCAATTAAACTCAAGCGATGTGGGACATACTAAGACTCCGCCATATCTGAAAGTCACTAGGTACTCCACTACGACACAAGACTAGATAAACAAATTTGTCCTGGGCGGAGCTACTCACTGTCCAAATGGCCACACTGGACTCCAATTTTCATCTTCCCTTTTTTCTCTTTTCTTTTTTTTTCTTTTTTTTTTTTTGCAAGTATTGGGTTTTATATTTATTTATAGTTCAGTCCATACACTAATCTACCCCAACTCCAAGTGTACGGTAATATTTTCTGACTCTTTCCTCTTGACAAGAAATTAATTTTTTTTCCTTTTAATCTACCCTTGTTTTGAAATATTTTCAAAGTTCATTTCTTTCCTAAAACCCACATTTCCTCGGGCCCTCAAATTTGTAGCAAAAACGTTCTTGATTATGTGATTTTTTGTTTAATATTAGTAATTATGATTATGTGAATATTGAATATTGGTAATATTTGTGATGGATTCTTGAAACCTTGATTTCTTTCATTTAGTTAAACAATTAGTGATGATTCTTTTGGTGTTCTACCAATTTGTAAAAATTAATAGTTGCTTTCTTATCAATTAATATTTTACTGTCAATTGTGATTTTATTTTAGTGTGAAATACCAATGAAGAGATTCCTTAAAAGAAAATATTTCGTAGAAAATGTTGATGATGAGTTATTGAATAAAATGGATTTTGATGTTACACAACTTGCTATAGATTTTAGAATAAAGAAGAAAATGATCATCTTATTAGTGTTGTCACTATGTCATTTTTAGCATTGTCATGATATCAATCAATCCATAACCGAAACATTCAACCTTGACTAAATTTTGCCTGCACTGGAAAAAATTTCTGGCTCCGCCCTTGTAGTTGCATACACATTCCATTAAATATATGCTTAGCTATCAATATATAACTTGCCATATTGTGAGATTAGTCTTTTACCTTATATAATGCACATTGTAACTCGGACAACGTAAGAACATGCTAACACTAGAGTAACTAAATGCTCACTACAAAAAATTTACAAATCTCATTCTTAACAAATATATTTCTGCTCCAATACCATGAAAAAATTCATGGACGCAACTTATTAGTATATATAAAACTGAATCACCACTTGAGATTTGTTTAACATTATACTTGCAAACAGAGACGGATACGAGGGGACTGGGTTGGGCTGTAGTCCCCCCAAGGCCCAAGAATTATATATATTTTTTTAATGCATTTTTCTTTTTTCTTTTTTTTTTAAAACAGTTTTTTGTGTGTAAAGTTTTTTTTTTTTTTTTCACATATTAGCCCGGCTTGAAATTTTGTTATCCGGCTTTGGATCCAATTCTGGATCCGTCCCTGCTTGCAAGTGTGGAATGGACAAACCTTATAAACGCAGAATTGCTATGAAAAGGAAAAATAAAAAACATTGTGATCCAATGGTTGGTCACTTCGTATAAAAGAAACCCTAAAAATGAAGCCTGCTGTAGTTTTTCTCAACACAAATGATGTACTTCATGAAAACGGAGAAAATCATAGCCCTTGATCACACATCATCCTAGTGGTCCCTTCCACCATATATCAATTCCCTACGTTGATCTCTCTCTCTCTCTCTCTCTCTCTCTCTCTCTCTCTCTCTCTAACCTCGTTTAAATGCTGTGAAGAAACTCCTAAAAGTTGGAAGTTCTGGCAAGAGTACAGCATCAATTTCAATATAGAGCAAATAATTTGTTTATATTATGGACATCAGCCATCAGGAGTGGATCACAAACCCGTCCATCTGTAAGCCTAACGTGGAAATGGAAGACTTTCCCTTTGACACAATATGGCCTAACTTTCATACGAATCTCTCTTCGTTACACGTTCCCACGGGGAATTTGAAACTCGAAACCGAAGAAGAACAAGAACCAGAAGAAGAACTCAGCGCCATGAAGGAGACGATGTATAAAATTGCAGCCATGCAACCAGTGGACATTGATCCAGCTACAGTTCGGAGGCCTAAAAGGCGAAATGTTCGAATAAGCGATGATCCACAAAGTGTCGCAGCCAGGCACCGCCGGGAGAGGATAAGCGAGAAAAGCCGAATTCTGCAGAGGCTTGTGCCTGGAGGAACAAAATTGGATACTGCGTCTATGTTGGATGAAGCCATTAGGTATGTGAAGTTCTTGAAAAGGCAAATTCGTCAGCTGCAGCAAACAGGAAATCAAGTGGCGCCGCCGTGTCTAGGAGATGCAACAGGCTCTTCTGTTGCCGGAGACTGGGCGGTGGCCACCTCGTCTAGCAAAAGTCCTGGGTCTTTTGCCGTTTCTCCCTTGGCAGGATGTGCATACATATTTGGAGGTCATGGGGCAGATGATCCCCATCCACACTTGCATTAGCAATAAGGTAATTAATGAGGAATTGAAGTGTGTAATAATCGAAAATATTGTTGTTAGAATTGAATGAATTTGTTTTTAAAAGAGACCGAGTTTCACAATTCAAGCTTTAACTTAGAAATATGAGACGCTTTTTTGTCATTGCATTCTACTCTTCCTTCGAGAATCTAGCCATGCAATTTCATGAAATCATCTTTTATTAGGCATAACACTCTTCGTATGAACTCTCACCTCCTCAATCAAGGTCATTAATCGTAAAATCTTTATGTTATGACAGCAATTGTTACAATTATGTTGGGTGCTAGCGTGCACTACATTCTATTGCTTCTTTCATAATTGATATTTATGGCAACCCATATATTCAATCACTTAATTTCACAAAATCAGTTTTCTATCGAAGTAATCTATTCAGATAGTATTTGCCTCCCAAACAATGGTCGTTCACAAAAATCTTGTCGTGACACTGACCGATTTGTAAAACAAACAATAGATAATCAATTTATGTTTACAAAATAAACCTAAAATTTGTAAGTCTTACAAGTTACAATGGTGACGTTTGAAGCCAATTTGAATTAGAATTTTGGGTTAGAAATGAAGTTGTGTGTGACCCTAAGAAAATGCAGTTAGGATTTTGTTGACTAAAGGGCAGTGGAATAATCATAACAGTTAGCTTGAATTGCGTTCTTCCATATATTGATATATAGAATAAGGGTTTTCTTGTTCCAGTCTGAAAGTTCTTTTGTCCAATTCCTTCCCAATGCATCAAAAAGTGACGTGAGAAGCCATTGAATATGATTAATACTCTCTCTCTCTCTCTCTCTCTCTCTACATAACTAAAAATGTTAAGACTTGAACCTTGTTAAGAGGAGTGGGCCAAGATCTTTTTAAGTTAATCAATATTTCGGTATTTAAGCGATGTGAGATTTTTATCACTTAACACGTCCCCGCAAAATGGTAGCTCATTTGAGAAGACCAATCTTGCAATCCGTTGTTCATTAATTGAGACTTATAATCGAATCGAATCGCTCATTGGAGTTTATGGGCTCTGATACTATATTAAGACTTGATGTCCATTTTAATAAGGTCAACCTTATTAAGAGGAGTAGTCCAAGATCTTTTTAAATTGATCAATATTTCGATATTTAACCGACGTGGGATTTTTATCCCTTAATAAGAAACTCATGCATGCTTCCGTCATGAATTTCTCTAAAAGTCGTGTGTTGTGTGCTTTGGCCGAATCTCCCAAGTCCCAACACCACCATCAAAGTCCAACGGCATTTGGCCATAGCACGTTGCAAGACTGTTGCTCGAGTTTGCAGCGCTACGGTAATCGCATTCCACGGGTATTACAAAATCTATGATGATTTGGCCTTCTACCTCTTTGGTAAAATAATTTTTTAATTTATTTTTTGGTCAAATTAGCGAGTAAAATATAGCAGTTGGAGAGTTACTGAATGATTTATTGAAATCATAAAAATCGCAGTTATGTTTTTAACTTAATGGTGGTGTAAGTTATAATTTTTGCAACTATATAAATTCCTTCTTTTTCTTGAAAGAATTATACTAAAATTATTTTCATCTTATCTTTTAAAAAATCGATTCAAGCATTATTCACTCACATTTTCTTCTGGAGAAAATAATTGAGAGTTGTAAAAATCTCTTGTAATTGCTGCACAAGTGATTATATCCTGAGAGTGAACGTCTAAAGAGTTAGTAACAGTAAATGGTGCATAATTTCACTTTAAAGTATCGTACTGTCACGAGTCTCGATCAATAAATTTTTATTTTCTACATTTTCTTGTATTGCAATAGTTCCAGTAACTAATTTTTGTCTTACACCAACTATGCTTAGGCATAGGATTTCTAATTAAGTCATGAGGATTAAGTCCTCTCTTTTGATGCACGTGCCAATTGTTGATCTAAATCTGTTATATTTTCATGTTTTATTTACCATATTACGATTTCTTTACTCATTGATTATGAAGTCATGTTTAACATTCTTATTCACATGTGCTTAAACAACGATTTTTGTTGAAAATACATAGGAATCTTCTTGATTTGTTCACCAATTTTGCACTTGTACACCTCGTGTGCTCATCGTTTGCATTCAAGATCAAACTTATAAATGTTCGCTAACAGTGACCTAGCTTCGTAAATGATATGAACGTCTTTAGAAATGCTCGCTCAAGATAGTATCACAAGTGACGGTCAAAATTATATTATAATAATTTTATAGATCTAATTTTTTGTTCAAGAATCTCTCTCATAAATGAAATTGAAAAATTGTCAAAAAAATTAGAATCTACTTTCTATATTATTGAGCGATGTGTTACTGAAGTTTATGGATTGAGCACATAATAAATACTATGTTGTATTTTCTCCTTTCTTCTTATTTCTATCAACTGAAGTAGGCCAAGTGCAAATATTCTTTTGTATTTTCTCCTTGTCAATCTTGGGGCTTCAACACAACAAAATGAAAATTGATATAACTTTCTGTACATTTTTAATTCGTAAGTTCCTTTAATTAATTCATTTATTGAAATCTTCAAGTCCTCAAATATAATGCACCGAATGTTGAATTGACTACGTGAACCAAGTGGTTGACATATCACATAAGCACAAAGAGACGCACTGAATTTTATCAAAAAGGTGAAAATTTTATCAATCAAATTATTATAAACATTTTACAATTTCTTCTCTTACGAATGAAGTAGCGAAAGCTTATAGACAAGAATAAAATCTTACAAAAAAAACCTAACTTGTTGATTCGCTCATGAATGTCAAAAAGAGACAATATTTGGAAAAAAAATAAGGAAATTATTTTAAAAAATGAAAAACACGATTTACGAGCTCTAAATGATGGAATTTGATGGAAACGGGCATTCTGAAAAATTACTTCTTTCAACCCCCCACTTTTCCATGAATTCTTCTCTTTTCTGTATTGTGTCATGTAGGGTTTCTCAAGTCGATATTAAGTAGCTTTGAAGTTTTTGCTTTCATCTGTGTTATTTTTCAATTACTAATAAAACTATAAATTTATTTATAGAACCCCAAGTACCTTATTGTTTCTTACATAAGGATACATAAACATATCTTTATTTAAGTCTTGTTCGGTTTAGCTAAAAAGTTGATTAAAAATTTTAAGTCAAAATCAACAATTAAATTTGGATCATATTTTATGGGATCTATAAATTTTCAACCTTACATTTCATTAACTTTTATCAAAATTTAGTCAAAACTAATTTTTATCTATATTAAACATGAGCTAAATATGTTGAATTCGAATCAATAGTTTAAAAGTACAGAATTGATAATTCTAAGAGTTCTTAGAAATTTT